GGTTTAGAAATAATGCCTGGTTAAATACAAATAAAGTGAAATTTTTGGGGGTTGGTGATTTTTTGGTTTTTTGTGGTTTTTTTTTTTACTTCCAATAGAAGTATCATGCTTTGCTCAGCAGTCAAGTGCTTAAAGCATGGCCTGCTGGAAGGAAGGAGAACAGGACTAGAATGGTATCAATTATTTGGTCAGCCAGTGAATTTTTGCCTAAGCTTTGCTCTTGGGAAGTCTTTCCTTGTTCACTGCCTTCCAGGAACATAGACAGAGCCACCAGCACCTGTCCCTCTGTCTTTACAAATAAAAAAATAATATTCTCTCACTGTCAGCTCTGACTTATGGTAAGCCCACGAATGTCAGAATAGAACTGTCTTTCATAGGATTTTTAAGAAACAGATTTCAAGCCCGTTCTTCTGAGGTTCTCCTAGGTGAACTCAGACTGTCAGGCTTTCTGTTGGGAGCTGAGTGTGCTAAACATTTACAGTATCAGGGACTCTTTCGCTTGCTTTAGGAAACCATGTTCCTCTGGCACAGTTCCAGGGGTCTTGCATTTACTTTAATGACTGAGTAGTTGTAGAACCTACGGCTTAAACTCCCTTGACATTTATCTTCCTTGAAATTTCAGTTAGCTCCAGTAGAATGACCAGACTAAAGTTGTTAACAATCTCAATCTCTTCACCATTCATCCTGATGCTGCCAGTTGATCCAGTGCTGAGAATCATAGTCTTCTTGACACTGAGCCTCAGTCCATACTGAAGGCTGCAGTCCTTGACCCTCTGCAGTAAGTGCATGAGGTCCTCCTCAGTTTCAGCAAGCAGGGTTGTGTCATCTGCATAAAGCAGATTGTTAATAGATCTTCCACCAATCCTGATGCCACACTGCTCCTCATAGAGCCCAGACTCTCGGATAATCTGTTCTGCATACAGGTTGGAAAGGTATAGAGATACGACACATCCCTGGCATACGCCCTTCCCAATTTTGAACCATGCAGTGTTTCCTTGCTCTGTTCTGACGACTGCCTCTTGGTCCAAGTATAGGTTTCGCATTAGAACGATCAAGTGTTCTGGGATTCCCATTCTTCTCAGAGTCAGCCACAGTTTGTTATGATCCACACAGTCCAACGCCTTTGCATAATCAGTGAAACACAGACATTCTTCTGGTATTTTCTGCTTTCAGCTAAGATCCATCTAACATCAGCTATAATATCCCTAGTACCACGACCCCTTCTAAACCCAGCCTGGACTTCTGGCAGTTCTCTGCTGATGTGCTGTTCCATTCGGTTTTGGATAATCTTCAGCAGAATCTTGCTTGTGTATTAAATCAATGATATCTTTCTATAGTTTCCACACTCTGTTGGGTCACCCTTCTTTAGAATGGCAACAAATATAGATATCTTCCAGTCAGTTGGCCAAGTGGTTGTTCTCCAGATTTCTTGGCACAACTTGCTGAGACCATCCAGGGCAGCATCTGTGAGCTGAAATATAGTTGGCACCAGTAGCCAGGAAATAAAAATCGTGTTGTGATGGGAAAGTCTGCTGTTAGGGACCTCTCCGGGTACTGAAGAGTAATAATGTCACTCTGGAGACTAAGGTGTGTCTGATACAGGCCATGGTCTTTGCGATCACTTGTTATTCATCAGAGAGTTGGACAATGACTAAGGAGGATAGAAGGAGAATTGATGCCTTTGAGCTGTGGTGCTGGAGAAGAGTATTGAATGTACCCTGGACTGCCAAGAAAACAAACGGATTAATCCTGGAGAGGGTTAAACCAGGCTGCTTCTTGGAGGCAAGGATTCTGAGGCTTCCTCTGACCTACTTTGGATATGTTGTAAGGAGGGAGAGGTCCTTGGAGAGGGACATCATTCTTGGGAAGGTGGAGGGACAGCACACGAGGGGAAGACCCTCTATGAGGTGGATTTAGTCAGTGACTGGGGTAATCGGGATGGGTGTGTCAGAGGCAGTGAGATTGGTACAGGATAGAGCAGGGTTTAGGGCTGTTGTACATAGGGTTGCTATGAGTCACAAGCGACTCGATGGCACATAACAACAACAACAACAACAACAACCAGTAGAATATCAAAACTTGCTGGCATTGAGTGAGGCTACACTGGGTTTCTGAAGCTGCAAATCTTTACAGGAAGATACTGCTGACTTTTCAGCTCATGGTCTCATAGCTTACTGTACTATCAGCCCTAGAACTACTTTCCAGTGGAATTGTTCTTGCCAGTAGAATGTTGTTGTTTTTGTGTGCCATCAATTGGAACTGACCCATAATTGACCCTCCACCAGATTTTCAGAGGCAGTTTAATCACACAGGAGAGGATTGCCCATCCTTCACCCACAGATAAGCTCCTGCAAAAGCTAGTAACTAGTAATTGTTGTTGTTGTGTACCATAGAGTGGGAATAGATACACAGTTGACCCTCTGCTGAGTTTTCAGAGGCAGTTAATCTCGTGGGAGGAGATTGCCTATCCTTCTCCCTTGAAGCAGCTAATGGCGTTTGAGATTGCAGCATAGATTCTTGCCTCTAGGCCACCAGAGCTCTAACCAATTCCTAAAGTTCAGCATTTAAGTTCTGAATTCTTCATTCTTCTCTTTGGCCTCTTTGCCCAGACTAACACCTAACAGTGGAAATTTTATGAAGAACCTTGCCATAGTCATTGATGCTTTTATTTCTTGGAAATAGGCAATCACACAAAACTCATTGTCATAGTTAGAACAGACTTCTAGCTGTCCCTCCAGCAGGTTTTTGGGAGACTATAAATTGCATGAAAGGCGATTACCCTCCTTTCTCCCTGTCGGTAGAGATGACTTTGGGGCTTACTGGTGCAGCTCTCTAAAGAATACTGCACTGGAGATCCCTGAAGGGACAGGGGGCTCAGCAAATCTCTGTCGTTTTGGCCATCTTAGAGCAAAGTAAAACACCAGGCTGTGGTGGCAAAGCTGACTTCATACGGTGATGCAGACTGTAATCACAGTCAGTGATGCTTTGTGATGAACATACGGAAGCTTCTTAAAAGGCTAGGCAGCCACCATTTCTGTACCTCCTCCCATGCATCTTATTTTTTGCATATTCCCAATAGTTTGCTATTACTTGATTTATCTTTCACCTGAGACAGAAAAGTCTGCTTTTGAAATTCTGATCATGCAAACAGAGATTGATTCCTTCTTATGATAAACATGCTTAGTGTATGTAAGATAAAGTCTTCCTATTCTCACTTATAAAGAACACTCTGGCTGTCTTTCTAGGACAGAATTGCTTAGGGGTTGTTTTTGGTTTTGTTTTTTTTTCTTCCATAGTATATTCAATATTCTTTGCTAATATATATGCTATCAGCAATCCTTTTTCAGGCAAATGCAGTGATGTATGACTACTTAGTCAGTGATTGCTGCAGAGTCAGAACCAATTCCCAGCTGACCTTCTTGAAGGTTTTCAGAGGCTGTAAAGGACACAGGAGATTCACGATCTTTCTCTAGTGGAGTCACTGGTGGATTTGAACTTATGGAAAGGAAATTAGTAGTACAACTCTTTCCAGATTATCCCACCAGAGTTCCCTATTTGATTACTACTTCCAATCTATAGGTCTCTGAAATCTGTAGGATGGTGGTTTAATAATTGAAATCCAGAAACAAGAGTTATTCACTATTCACAGCTTTGATCAAGTTCCTGGGGGTTGATTTTGTTTGGGTGTTTTCTGTTGTTGTTGTTATTATTCATTAATATTTGTTAATTTTCATTCTTTGTGTTTCAGAGAAAGGTATTACTTCTAAAATACTCCCAATCTTCTTTCCATTGAAAGTCACCTGTCCTAGGAGTTTTCCTAGTAACTGCTTATTGTATCTATATCTATATGATATACTATAATTGAATCTATTCTGTAAATTCTGTAAAATAAATATTATCTTTTTAAAGGACTCAAATCTCCTGAATTTAAATCTTGTTTTAATAGACAAATGACTTAGACAATCCTAAAGTTATTTAATTCCTCTTAATATCTTTATCTAAAAATAGTCTAATACATTTCTTACCTTTCTTTCACATCTATTATATTGTGAATGTATTTCTTCTGATAGATCTTCATTCTATTATATCTTTCTTTTTTTCCCCCATTCATTCTTAGCCCTGAACGCTAGCCCAGTTTTTCCTTCCTCTCTTTTACTATGACATGCCCTAGGCTGATTGTAAAGATACACCTCATTTCATCTGTAAGGTTACACACAATATCCTATTCACAGAGGACAGTGGTTTGGCCTGGTTCTCTTAACACTGAAAACATTTGTCCTGAGTAAATATTAGTTGGATAATTTCTTGAAACAACTCAAGCATGCCTTTATACCAAGTATACCCTTCCTACGATTTTAAATGAAAAATATTTGACAAATAATTAACTTCATTTACTCCTTGCCAACACTCTATTTGACCCTTGAAGCCTTTGGTACCAGCCCCAGACTCACATGCAACTTTTACTGGGACAAATTTTTAAATCCAATTACTCTATCTCCTTATCCATAGCATTTATAATCTTTGCTAACTGAGCGAAGTAAAATCAAAATTTTTCCAGCAGTGCTGGCTGTTTTCCTTTGAGCATGAGTTTCAGAATAAATCCTGCTTTTTAGCAAAAGAAAACTTCTTGGACAATGATCAAGGTCTTAGATCTTCTGGATTAGATTTTTTTCTTATTGTAATCTGTGAGTTTGTTTCTATGTAAACATAAGTAATGACTAAATATTTAATGAATTGGAAGACGTGGGGTACCCAGGACCCAGTGACCAAGTTCATGGAACTACATGGCTTTTAGAGATCTAAAGGAGATTTGAGACCAAATACTTCACTGACATTCTCTCCCAAAATATGAAAAAGCTGTGGTCAGATTAGTAATAATCTCTATTTGGATAGATACTCTTAGAGGCTCCAGGAAGATGGCAGAAGAAATCTGAGTGCAATAGCTTATCTGTGAAATGTGATCTGCCTGCCACTGACTTTGTACTTGACTTGGCTTGTAGGAGGAACAGACACCATTGCATATTGCTTCCCGCCTGGGTAAAACAGAAATTGTCCAGCTGCTTCTCCAACATATGGCTCATCCAGATGCGGCCACGACAAATGGGTACACGCCACTGCACATCTCTGCCAGGGAGGGCCAAGTAGATGTGGCATCGGTCCTCTTGGAAGCTGGAGCAGCCCACTCCCTAGCCACTAAGGTAAGAGAAGTGACATCGGGCAAAGTGGACCAACAGTGTTCCTCAGGCCCTTCTGCTCATCTGTGCTAGTTGCAAGAAGGGAACATGTCCATTAGGTCTCTAACTTCCCTTTTTTCTCTTTGAGTATTTTGTATTCATTGTCTAAATGATAAAAAGAAAGCTTTGGAACGGGTTCTACTGATTTATCTCAGAATTGTGTCTAGCACATCCATTCAGTACTTAAGTCAAAATGTGTTCCCTAAGACAAACGCTACTTCCTTTTTCTTTCCATTAGACACACAAGAATGCGTTTACTAAAGAGGATGGGGGTTGCAGAGTGGAGTATACTTGGGGTGGGAGTGGGGATTGTGTACCAATGAAAGAGTTTTTCTTTTGCTTTTCAAGGAGAGGAGCGAACTGGGGGTGGGGGTGGGGGTGAGTGGGTAGGGAGAAAAGTGCAACAATGAATGAATGGAATTTAAAAAAAAAAGAGGGTGAGGGGAGATTCCCAAATACATTAAAAGAATTGTGCTGATGAGGAAAATAATATTCCATTAGATTGGCAATAGAATTTTTGTTCTTTCTAGAAATTTTCATAGTCCTGCCTTTTACCAACCTTAATATAAACCTCCATCTATTTAGCACTCCCATTCTGAGGTCTACGTTTTCCTCCATCAATTTTATTTGTTCCTTGCCTTTTCTCTTTCTCTAACATAGCAGGGGCGGAGAATCCACTTTTTCAACTATTGCCATCTAAAGGGAATAGACACCAGACTCAATATTACTTATGTTTCGAGTTTCACAATATAGCAGAACAATTAAAATTTACTATTTGAAAGGTGACTTGCAATAATACATGACCACATTCAGCCTATTTGAGAAAAAGAAATAAGGCTGATACAAAAGGATCAGAAAATAAGACAAGTTAATTTGTTGCAGCAAAATAATTTCCAGAAATACAGCAGCAACTTAGATTAGTAGAAGACAGTTTTAATTTACCCTTAATAAATAGGCATGAATATTGTGTTCAGGAGAGAAAAAAGCACATAAAATGATCTAAGCTATTATTTAAGTGTCTACCATTGTAAAAAAAAAAAAGGTTGAGGTTCACTGGTAATTGTTTAAACTGAAAATTTCAAGAATTTAAGAGGGTTTTTTTTCTAATCAAGAGTGCATAAACCTGGAGTATCAATAAAATGTTGACCTGACAATTTTTAAAGTGGAAATACAGTGAACCATATGTCTGTCAAAAAAAAAATCTAAATATTATTATAATAATGATAATGACACAACAGATAGAGTATGATTACCCTATCAATCAAGGCAGTACATAAAATAGAAGACCAATAAATAAAAGATCAATCCTAGTTTCTTATCTTCCTGAGATTTTGAGTACTTCAAAAAAATATATCTATCTAAAGCCATAGTAAATTGTTGTTGATTCCACTGAGTTGAGCACGACTCAGAGCAACCCTGTGAACAAAAGGCCTTCTGAAGCCCCTCTACAACTATTGTCATTTATCAAAGTTCATAGAGTTTCCAGAGGCATGTTGTTTAGGAAGTGGATGCCATTCTTGCTTCCAAAATAGTCAATTAGGGCAGTAAAATAGAAGAACCTCACAGTGCGTGCTGGAAACTGACTTAGGGTTCTGGACAGTAGTTGCATCGTGATCATTAACACTAGTGATGTGTCCATAAATGTGGCCATTGTTGTTATTTTTATGTGCCATCAGGTCTATGCCAACTCATAGTGACACTTTGAACAAAAATAGCTCTGAACCCTGCTCTGTCCTGAGCTCACTGCCTCTGACACACCTACCCTTATTACCCCAGTTACTGTGTCAATTACCCTTATTACCCACTTACTGTGTCAATTCATCTCATTCAAGGTTTTCCTCTCTTGCATTGTCCCTTCACCGTTCCAAGAATGATGTCTTTCTTCAAAGACTAGCCCCTCTTGGAAACATGCCCAAATTATGTGAGATGGAGCTTCAAATTTCTTGCCTCCAAGGAGCAACTTGTCCCACTTCAAAACAGGCCTATTTGTTCTCTGGATGGTCCATGGTATATTCAAAACTCTTCTCCAGCACCATAGCTCAAAGGCATCAATTCTTCTGTTATCCTTGTTCACTGTCCAGCTCTCTAATGCATAGCAAGCAATTGCAAAGACCATGGTCTGGATCAGATGCATCTTAGTTAATCTCTAGACTGAAATTGTTACTCTTCAACACTTTGAAGAGGTCTTTGACAGCAGGTTTCCCAAGTGGAATTTGTCTTTTGATTTTCTGATTGCTGGTGCCAAGAGTATTGTGGAGCCAAGCAAGGTGAAATTGTTAACATTCTCTACTATCATGGTGCTCCCAATAGGCCTAGTGAGAAAATCTTTGTTTTCTTGACGTTGAGCTTCAATCCATATTGAAGACTACAGTCCTTGACCTTCTACAGCAAATGCTTCATGTCCTCTTCAGTTTCAGCAAGCAAGTTTGTGTCATCTGCATAACAGATTGTTGATGAGTCTTCCTCCAATCCTAATACCACATTCCTCCTCATAAACCCCAGCCTTCCAAATGATCTGTTCTGCATATAGATTGAAAAGCTATGTAGAAAGAACACATCTCTGACACACTCCTATCCTGATTTTGAACCATGCTGTCTTTTCTTGCTCTGTTCCTTGGTCCAAGTATAGGTTTCACATAAGCTCAATCAGATGTTCTAGGATTCCAGTTCTTCTCAGAGTTAGCCACAGTTTGTTGTGATCCACACAGTCAAATGCCTTTGCATAGTCAATGAAACACAAATGGACATTCCTCTGGTATTCTCTGATTTCAGCCAAGATCCACCTGACAATGGCAATAATGTCGCTAGTGCTATGGCCTCTTCTAAACCCAGCTTGTAATTTTGGTAATTCTCTGTCAATGTACTGTTCAAGTCATTTTTCAATGATCTTCAGCAGGATTTTACTTGTGTGTGATATTGTTCTATAATTTCCACAGTCTATAGGATTTTTACCTTTTTTTAATGGAGATAAAAATGTATTTGTTCCAGTCAGCTGGGCAGGTAGACATCCTCCATTCTCTTGGCACAACTTAATGAGCATGTCCAGGGCTGTGCCTGTTGATTGAAATATATCAATTGGTAGTCCATACATTCCTGGGGCTTTGTTTATTGACAATTTGTTCAAAGCATCTTAAACTTCATCACCATTACCTCTTGAATGAAGATATTTCATTATATTCTACTGTGTCAGCCAATTCTTTCTAGTACAATGACTCTGTATACTCCTTACCTCTTGTTATACTACTTCCTGGATCATTCAATATTCTGCCGAGAGCAAAAGTCAGGGGGTAAAGAAATCTTGAAGGAGATGAAGGGACATGTGTCAGTCAAAAGATTCTTTCCCTGGGGGTAGAACATATAATTGCAAAGGATTCTTTCCAACCTTTATTTTGTGATTATATGAAGATTTTACACAGTTTTGACTGATGAGGTTTTCCAAACTTATAAGGGTGTTAGGCCTGTCTTCAAGTAGGGCTTTAAGGATAAATAGTTTAGTTTGTTCTTTCTCAGTATGTAGTTTATCTCAAAGAACTTCTTTTGATACTAGTGACACCCCAATCAATATGCGCATGAGGTGGAAGAAGAAAGTTATACAAACAAGTGCTAGTTTATATGGATGACTGCAAGAAGATGGAAACACTTTCCACATTTGTCCCACACTTGGAAAAAAAGAACCAACCTGAATATGCCTCCAAAGTCTTATTAGTACCAAATGTTCAAAAATAAACAAAGAGAAAAATAGTCTCTTAGCTAAAGATTGTCTGACGACATTGTGATAGGAACAATATTGCTTCTTGGGAATACTTTCTTTTAAAATGAGTGCTTACATGGTCGTGAGGACAAGTCAGACATCACAGTACCTTCTTGGCCTATTTTCTTGGTGTGTTTATGAGCACCAGTCAGCTTTAAAATTCTCCCACTTTTGTTCCAGGAAAGCATGTGGTTAAACTGTCTGGCCAAGAAGATGGTTTTGAAATCATGGTGCTGTCACTGTGCCAGCTTCTAGTTCTGAATCCATGGATTTATCTGTCTTTGCAGCATATTACTAGTTACAGAGAGTGACTATTTGTTAGATATCCAAGAAGATGAATGTAAACATAGAAATATGTGTAGGAGGGCAATCTTTTAAAACTTTTTTAAAGCATTAAATATGTTTAAAAACTTGGTATTAACCATCACAGTATCTTGCTAGAAATAGAGTGTGTTTTACCAAGGACATAGGTCTTTCAGGCAATGTGAATCTTCTGGAAAAGAGGACGTAACCAAGATAGGAAATGCTTTCTAATGGTAAGCATTTATCTTGCCATTTTTGCAAAGTACACAAATCGACAGTATGATGGACAATTTTTCATAACCGTGGCTGCCAAAATATTTTCAAATTTAAATGAAGAAATTCTGAATTTAGGTGTTATAAAAAGATGAAGACTCAAAAGAAAAGATTTGTTGTGCCAATTATATTCATTTAAGAGGCAAGAGAAAGATAGGCCTTTCTTTTTTTCCACTCATAAATTGGAGCCAGTTTACTGACACTAGTGGCTTTTATAAATTCCAGACCTATAAAGTCAAGTTCCAGGCTCCAAATCCTTCATATGAAAGTTCTTTTGTCAGTCTATCAAGCCAAACATTTTAATGTTAAAACATACTTTTTATCTGAGTTCTTATTTATGGCTAACAGATTTAATGCTACCAGTTTCCTCCTTCCATAAGGAGAACTTAATATGCAAACAAATAAAAGCTTTTTAAGGTAAAAAAAATTACTAATTTTCACTTGTATTCTTATTTTTAGAAGGGTTTTACTCCACTCCATGTAGCAGCCAAGTATGGAAGCCTGGATGTGGCAAAACTTCTCTTGCAACGCCGTGCTGCTGCGGATTCAGCCGGGAAGGTAAATGACTATAATAGAGTTCAGTTTAGTAAAGGCAACAGGCCTGAAAATTTGAAGGTCTGTATTTAATGATAGTTTTCACACTTTTCTAAACAGAATATGATGCAACTGATAAAAGTATGCCAAATAGCATGGCCGAGTGGTCCCCTGTGATTTATCTGTGTACTACTTGGAGGCACTTTTGTGCTTGGAGCCTTGTTCTTCTCAAAATTGATCCTGGAGCTCCTTTTAATGCAGTGTACTGTAGTAATTCTTACAAAGTGTTTTAGGTATTTATTTATGCTGAACATCAGCTGGCTTTTTTGACTACTACGAGACGGAGTTCGCTAACTTATTGTAAAACCAGCCAGCCATTTCAGTTTTTGTTCAATTTCTAATATTTAAATTATTTGCCCTTTGTTTATTTTCAGTCTTATTTCTATTGACTGTATTAATTTGTTAATTTATTAACATGGATTTAATCCGGTTCACTGTCTGTGCATCCTGGTAGCCCGCACTAATCTATTAATGCTGAAACTTAAACACACCCTTTACAGAATGGCCTTACCCCGCTCCATGTTGCTGCTCATTATGACAACCAGAAGGTGGCGCTGCTGTTACTGGAGAAGGGTGCTTCCCCTCACGCCACTGCCAAGGTAAGGAACACAGGCAAGGGCTTACTGACGTAATCTGAAAGCAGGGGGCAACTATGCTTTTGAAAGTACACGTTATGGTATAGCTGCAACTAGCCTAACTTTTAGTAGTGACATCCTTTGCCATTTTTCTTTTGGTATTTCTACTCTAAAACCTTCAAAGATGTTTAAAGTCCTCAAACACAAAGGAGGATGCACTCATGAACTAGTGATCAATCTGTCAACATGTAGTGCTTTAGAGACCAAAATATGAATTTTAAGAAATGGAACACAATAAAGGAAGTAGAAGGGTTTTTTCCTCCCTCTGTGAATGGACTGCCAAAACGACAAACATCTTGGAGAAAGTACATCCAGAGTGCTTTTTGAAGGGCATTCCCTGATACTTGTACCTGATATTTTACTTAGAGACTCTAAAACTCAAGACATACTGACCACAGCATAAGAAACTGACACCAGCATGAGGTGTTTGGAATCACGGAAGCCCTGACAGTTTGAGCCTTAAGCCACTGTATCAAGGGTTGAATAAGGGGAGAGAGGTGTTGGATGGTGTAGTTAGAAGTGGAAAAGGATGCTGGTGGAGTAGGGAAAGAGGTGGGTCAAGACACACATGCCAAGAGTGGCTAGAAACACTGAATCTATAGGTCATTTCTCTAATTGGCAAATGTCTTTTATCTGCTTCTTTCTGTAAAATACTTGTCTGTCAGATACTAGTCTTAAAAAAAAAGAGAGAAAAAAAAGGCAGACTAGGAAGAATTGGTCATCCGTTTCCAAAATAACAGGCCATAGAAAATCCTGCATAAAATAGAGCACACTTAGACTAGCAGACATGGTAACTGAGGCTGAGATCTCAAATATGGAAACACAAAGGAGGAACAGTTGTAAGCAGACACCAGTGATTAGAACATGGAATGTGAGAAGCATGAATGTAGGAAAATTGGACATTGTTAAAGAAATGTAATGCATAAATATTGACATACTAGGTACTGGCAAAGTGAGATGGCTTAACATGGGACATTTTAAATCAGATGATCATATGATCTATTATGCCAGGAATGAAAAGGTGAAGAATAAATGGGGTTTCTTTCATAATTAGAAAAGTCATTTCTAGATCCATCTTGAAATACAGGGTGAGTGACAGGATAATATGCATATGCAAACTAGGAAGTCTAGTGATTCTCACTATCATTCAAATATATGCACCAAGAACTAGAGCCAAAGAGGAGGAAATAGAAGATTTCTACCAACATTTGCAGTCAGAAATCAATCTAACATGCAATCAAGATGGATTAATAATAATGGGTGACTGGAATGAAAAAGTTGAGAACAGAGAAGAAGGATCAGTAGTTGGAAAACATGGACTAGGTGACAGAAGTGAGGCTGGAGATAGAAGGAAAGAGTTCTGCACATTCAATGATTTATTCATTTCAAATACCATTTATAAGAAACACAAATGTAGGCTATACACATGGATTTCACCTGATAGTACACATAGGAATCAAATCAGTTACATCTGTGGAAACAATCACTGGAGCAGCTCAGAATCAGCTATGAAAACTAGGCCAGGTTTGATTGCAGAACAGACCACCAACTACTCATGTGCAAGTTCAAGCTGAACGTGAAGAAAATTAAATCAAATCCACAGGAACCAAATTTTGTCCTTAAGTCTATGTCACTCGAATTTTAAAACCATCTCAGGAATGGATTTGAGGCCTCGAACACCAATGAGCAAAGACAAAATAATCTGGTAAGAATATCATCTATGAAGAATGCAAATGGTCATTACAAAGGCAGAAGAGGAAGAAAAGACCAAGATAGATGTCAGATGAGACTCTGAATATTGCATTAGAGCACCAAGAAGCCAAAGTTGAAGGGAGAAATCAAGAAATTAAGGAGCTGAAAAGAAGATTTCAAAGGGCAGCTTGGGAAGACAAAGTATTACAATAAAATGTGCAAAGAGCTGGAGTCAGAATATCAAAAGGGCCAAACTCATTGAGCATTTCTTAAGCTGAAGGAATTGAAAACTAAATTCAAGCCACAAGTGGCAATACTTAAAAATGCTTTTGGTAGAATAGTAAATGATCCAAGAAGCATTAAAAGAAGATGGGAGGAGTATACAGAGTCACTGTGTTGTTGTTGTTGTTGTTGTTGTTGTTATGTGCCATCGAGTCATTTGCAACTCATAGTGACCTTGTGTACAAGAGCCCTAAATGCCATTCTATCCTGTGCCAACCTCGCTGTCTCAAACACATTCATTCCCACCACTCCACTCACAGAATTGATCCACCTCATTGAGGTCTTCCTTTCCTGCACTGCCCCTCTACTCTCCCAAACATGATGTCCCTCTCCAAGTTCCAGTCCCTCCTTAAAACATGCCCAAAGTATATCAGACAAAGCTTCAGAATCCTTGATTCCACGGAATATTCTGACTTCACCCTCTCCAAGACAAACCTGTTTGTTCTCCTAGCAGTCCATGGTATATTCAACACTCTTCTCCAGCACCACAGCTCAAAGGCTCTTTCTATCAACCCTGTTCACTGTCCATCTCTCTGATGCATAGCACGTAATTGCAAAGACTATAGCCTGGATCAGGCACATTTTAGTCTCCAGCCTGACGTCGTTGGAACGTCAGTATTCTTGAGGGGTCCCTCACAGCTGACTTTCCCAATGCAATTCATCTCCTGATTTCCTGGCTGCTGTTACCAAGAGTGTTGACTGTGGAGCACAGAAGAATGTCATGAAATAATGTATGAGCAAGAGCCTGTGGTGATGAAGGAGGAAGTCCAAGCTGCTCTGAAAGAATTGGCAAAAAACAAGGTTCTAGGAGTTGATGACATACCAATTGACATATTTTAACAAACAGACACTGCCCTGGATGCACTCACTAAGTTGTGCCATGGAATTTGGAGGACAAAAGATGACCCAGCAGAGTGTAGAAATTATCAAACAGTATCATTAATATCACCTGCAAGCAAGAGTCTACTGAAAACTATCCAAAAATGACTGGAACAGAACGTCAGCAGAGAACTGCCAGATGTGCAGGCTGGATTTAGAAGGGGTCATGGTACTAGGGATATTATACCTAATGTTAGATGGATCTTGGCTGAAAGCAGGGAGTACCAGAGAAAGGTCAACCTGTGTTTCATTGACTATGCAAAGATGTTTGACTGTGTGCATCACAACAAACTGTGATTTACTCTGAGAAGAATAAGAAACCCAAAACATTTGATTGTGCTTATGTGAAACTTATACTTGAACCAGGAGGCAGTTGTCAGAACAGAGCAAGAAGAAACTGCATAGTTCTAAATAGGGAAGGGTGTTCACCAGGGATGTATTCTGTCTCCACACCTTTTCAATCTATATGCAGGACAAGTTATCTGGGAGTCTGGGCTCTATGAGGAGGAATGTGGCATCAGAATTAGAGGAACATTCATCAGCAACCTGCATAATGCAGATGACACAACCCTGCTTGCTGAAACTGAGGAGGACCTGAAACGCTTACTGCAGGAGGTCAAGGACTACAGCCTTCAATATGAATTGAAGAGCAACATCAAGAAAACAAAGATTCTCACCACTGGGCCAATTGGCAGCATCAGTATGGATGGTGAAGAGATTGAGATTGAAACCATTTTAGTTTGCTTGGCTCCACAATCAACACTCTTGGTAACAGTAGCCAGGAAATCAAGAGATGAAATGCACTGGGAAAGTTGACTGTCAGGGACCTCTCCTGACTGAAGAGCAATAACGTCAGTCTGGAGAGTAAGGTGTACCTTATCCAGGCCATAGTCTTTTCCATTGCTTCCTATATGTTAGAAAGCTGAGTAATGGCTATGGATGATATAAATAATTCATGCCTTTGAGATGTGGTGCTGGAGAAGAGTGTTGAATATACCATGGACTGCCAGGAGAACAAACAAGTTTGTCCTAGAAAAGGTGAAACCAGGTTGCTTCTTGGAGGCAAGGATTCTGATGCTTCATCTAACGTAGTTTTGACATGTTACAAGGAGAGATCATGCTTGGGAGAGTTGAGGGACAGCGTAGGAGAGGAAGACCCTCAATGAGATGCATTGATTCAGTCACTGGGGCAATGTGGGTAGGTATTTCAGAGACAATAAGGCTGGAATAGGATAAAGCAGGGTTTAGGGCACTTGTACACAGAGTCGCTATGAGTCGCAAGCAACTCGATGGCACATAATAACAACATTGTGTACTGTCAAATCAAAAACAACTCATAGCTGACCCTCCAGTAGGTGTTCTGAAGTAGTGAATTGCATGGGAAGAAATTGCTCATTTTTCTCCCACAGAGCAGCTCATGGATTTGAACTCTGTGATTTTGGGCTAGCAGGACAACTCCTTACCACTAGGCCACCAGAGCACCTTTGAATATGAGCATATCTTAGGAGAAATAGCCAATATTTTTCAATCACATCTGTTAGAGGAAATATTATGAATCACTATTGGTAGTCAATCAAAATGAAGAGGAAAAAACTGCAAATGTCCTTTAATATTTGCAACATAGAATGTATGGAGTATGAATGTTGGAAAACTAAAAGTTGTAAAAATGAAATGGAACACACGGACACTGACATTCTAGGCATTAGTGAGATGAGCTGGACTGGCTTTGGTCACTTTGAATCAGACAATCACATGGAACACTGCAGAGAATGAAAAACAGAATAACATTGCATTCATAGTTAAAAAGGTGATTTCAAATTCTATGCTCAAGTACTATATTGTAATAAGATATTATCTATATGCATACAAGAAAGTTTTGTTACTATGGCTATTATTCAAATATATGCACCAACAGCTAAAGCCAAAATCTAGGAAATTTAAGACTTTTATCGTATTTACATTACAGTCCAAAATTGGCCAAACATGCAAACAAGATGTGTTAATGATAATTTATGATTGGAATACAAAAGTTGGAAACAATGAAGAAGGAAAGATAGTCAGAAAATATGGACTTGGTGGCAGAAATGAGGCAGAAAATACAGTGATTGAATTTTGTACATTTAATGATTTATTTAACACAAACACCTTTTTAAAAAGATATAAATGACACCTTTACACAGGAATTTAAGCAGATGGGTTACATAGGAATTGTACTGACTACATCTGTGAAAGAAATCCTTGGAGAAGTTCACTATCAGCATTCAGAACCAGACCAGGAGCTGTTTGTGGAACAGACCGTCAATTCCTCATGTGCAGGTTCAAACTCAAGTTGAAGAAAATGAAAACAAGTCCATGAGAACCAAAATATTATAGTGAGTCTATCCTTCCTGAGTTTAAAAAAACATTTTAAGAATAGATTTGAAAATTTGAACACCAGTCATCAAAGACCAGATGAATTGTGGGATGACATCAAAGACAGTAAAAGGTCACTACAAAGACAGAGGAGAAAAGAAAAAAAAAGAAATAGATGTCAGAGGAGACCCTAGAGCACCAGAGCATTAAGAAGCCAAAACAAAGGGAAGAGATGCTGAAATAAAAGAGCTTATTTCAGGGCGGCAGCATCAGAGCTAGTGTCTGAGCTGCTGAGGAGGCCTTTCCACCGGTTGCTGGGGGGACTGCAGGTGACAGTCCGTGATGCTATCAATCAGGGGATGGATGAGGAACTGGAAAGAGATGAGATGGTTTTTCTGCTTGGGGAGGAAGTTACCCAATATGATGGAGCATAAAAAGTGAGTCAAGGCCTTTGGAAGAAATATGGAGACAAGCGGATTATAGACACATCCTTATCTGATATATGGGCTTCACTAGAATTTCTGTTGGTGCAGCTATGTCTGGGTTGCAGCCTATTTGTGAATTTATGACCTTCAATTTCTCTATGCAAGCCATTGACTAGGTTATAAACTCTGCTGCCAAGACTTGATACATGTCTGAGGGTCTTCACTCTGTGCCCATAGTCTTCAGGGGGCCCAACAGTGCTTTGGCAGGTGAGGCTGTCCAGCACTCACAGTGCTTTGCTGCCTGGTATGGTCAGCCCCTGGAATTCAGAGGATGCAAAAGGACTTATTAAATCAGCCTTTTGGGATAACAATCCAGTGGTAATGTTAGAGAATGAATTGATGTAGGTGTTCCATTTGATTTCCCTGAGGCAGCTCAGTCAAAAGATTTTCTAGTACATATTGGAAAAGCCAAAATAGAAAGGCCACAGACTCATGTAGCTGTGGCTTCCCATTTAAGACCTGCTGGCCATTGCTTAGAAGCTTCAACAGTGCTGTCTAAAGAGGGAATTGAATGTAAAGTCATAAATTTGTGTACCATCAAACCAATGGACATTGAAACCATTGAAGCCAATGTCATCAAGGCAAACCATCTTGTAACTGTGAAAAGAGGCTGGCCACAGTTTGGAGTAAGAGCTGAAATTCATGCCAGGATCATGGAAGGACCTGTATCCAACTACCTGGGTGCGCCTACAGTCCATGTCACCAATGCTGACGTCCCTATGCCTTATGCAAAGATTCTAGAAGACACCTCTATACCTCTGGTCAAAGACATCATATTTGCAATAAAGAGGACATTAAGCATCTAATTTGGGCTTAAATTTTAAGTCATTGGAATTTCTTATTTAAAATACTTGCCAATACTTCACCCAGATTGTACTTACTCAGAAGACTGTTCTTATTAAGAGTTTATTCAGAAAGTAATTTTGAAAGCAACAATGGAGAGGTCTGTATATTGGGAAATTGTTTAAATCTATGTGGAAAAATTCCACTCTCCACACCTTGTTATTGTGTTTTTCTATTACAGTCTCCATGTTCTATGAATAAGACCAATGAATAATGTCACTGTCTCACTAGAAGGACAAGATAGGAATGTGACCTATCCTAAAGATGTATCCTAAAGAAATAACTTCTATGTAAAAGTGTATAATCTACCCTTACTGTTAAGATTGTGTTGATATGGAATAAAGGGGGGGAAAAGACTCTGAGAAAAAAAGAGCTGATTTCAAAAGCAGCTAAAGAAGACTAAGAGACCAAGAAATGGAGAATAAAAAGAGAAGAACTTGTTCAGCATTTTTCAAGCTGAAAGAATTCAAAGACATATTCAAGCCTGGGGCTGCAATTCTTAGAGATGTCATGGGCAAAATCTTGAATGATCCATGAGCCAGCAAAGGAAGGTGGGTGGATTACACAGAATCATTTTGCCAAAATGAGCTGGCCTATACTGAAATATTTTAGGAAGTAATATAATCAAGATCCAATGGTAATGAAAGAAGATGTTCAATTCACACTGAAGGCATTGGCAAAAAAAATATGGCCTCAGAAATGGATGGTACACCAATTGATATGTTTCAAATGACAGATGCATCCCTGGACATGTGTACCAGACTATGTCAGGAAATTTGGTGGACAGCTGCCCGGCCAACTGACTGGAAGAGATCCATATTTGTTTCCATTCCCAAGAAATGTAATACAACAGAATGTAGAAAATATCAAATAATATCAGATATCACATGCAAGCAAAATACTGCTGAAGATCATTTAAAAATGGCTAAAATAGTACATAAATAGAGAACTTCCAGAAGTTCAAACTTAGAAGAGGCTGTGATACCATTGGTGATATCAGATGGATCCTGGCTGAAAGCAAAGAATACATACCTGTTTGTGTATTCTTTATGTATAAAGAATATCTATTTGTGGTTTATTGACTATCTAAAGACATTTGACAGTGTAGATCATAACAAATTATGGCTCAAGAATGAAAACCACAGAACACTGAATTGTGCTTATGTAAACCTATACCTAGACAAAGAGCCTATTGTGTAAATAGAGCAAGAGAACACTGCAGGTTTAAAATTAGGAAAGATGCATGCGTGTCAAAATTGTATCTTTTTTTCCATTCCTATTTAATCTGGATGGTGAGCAATTATTTGAGAAACTGGACTCTATGAAGAAGAATGTGGTATTAAGATTGTAGGAAAACTCATCAATAACCCACTGCATAAACATGACACTTAAGATTTGGTGTTGAAGTGTGAGTTCTTATGTTCCTCTCTATAAACTCCCTCATAAAACTCTCTCAAATACTCCTTGCCATAGAGTCAGAATCAACTCACAGCTGACCCTCCAGTGGGTTTCTAAAGCTGTCAGTTGCATAGGGGATTGTCTGTATTTCTCCTACAGTGTTATTGTGGGTTTCAACCATCAGAAAGGTGCAGCCTTTGGATTAGCAACACAACTTCTTACGGACCATGCCACCAGAACTCTCTCACATTAAACTAGTAGTCTCATAGTTCTAATTTTTAAGTAGTTGATTATAGATATATGGAGAGATTTAAGTTAGATTTTTTTAACTGGACAAAGATTAGTAGGAACCAACTTTGTCGTTGTACATCTCTTCCTTCCTTCCTGTAGAATGCAACCCCTTAACAACAGACACTGTGTCTTCTTAATTGATTTTCATGTAATTTTGGGCTACTAACCAAAAGTTCTGCTGTGAGGCTGAACACTGTGACACTGATGTGTCAAATGCATTAATTTTTGGCTACCCAATGTGGACAGAGAGTGGGGTGGAGCTCCCCGATTCAAATAAGCTTGGAAGGAGGAATGGCATCCACTTCCATAATAGCTTGTCTCTGGAAACCCTATAAACCTGGACAGAGGATGAAAGACACCCAAGCATTGAGGACTCTCCTTCATAGGGTCATTCTGAGTCGCCTGCGACTCGACGACACTTAACAATAACAACAACCAAAAGTTCAGGGAGCTTTGGTGGCAAGGCATTCCACTGTCAACCTTTAGGCACGTGGTTCAGATACATCAACTGCTCTATGCAGTTTCCTTGTGTGCAATTTATAGCCTCTGAAAACTCACTGGAAGGTCAGCCATGAGTTGGTTCTGACTCTATGATACATAAAACAACAGCAACAACCAACAACTCAGTGACTCTAATCCAACAGTCACTCTGAAGGAGAAAGATAGACTTTTTCCTTCCATAAAAATTTACAGATATGCCAACCCAGTGAAGGATTACCAGGTGTCAGAAATGGCTTGGCAGTAGTGGGGTTTAGGGTTTAAATCACTTATCTCATAAACTGCCTTATAAATTTGAATATTGAGTATGTATAGAGTGAGTGGAAAAGACTAAATTAATCAGAAACAGACTAATGGAATAAATTGCAACAGGATCATGGAAGAAATATGTTTTATATTATATTAAATCAAATCTTAGTAGATGGTTCATTTCTAGGTAGCACAATTCAAACTAGACACGTGGACATATGAAAATGAGTGTAAAATAAATCACGTTGATGCTGAGAGTACTAGAATTGGTATGTGCTTCTTGAAAGAACAGGGCAATGTTTAACCTAGAAAAGATAAGACGAAAAAGAAATATAAAAACTATCTTGAGGCTTCTCTCTATATATCTCTTTTCAAGGAAGAAGATTTGTCTCTTTGAGGATGTAACTTTCTAATCTATAATTACTGTTTTGCCCTTGGGGGGAACCTATCTTGAGAGAGTTAAAGGTCAGTTATGTAGAAAAGGACCCTTTATTAATTTTATATTGTTCTTTATGGAAGAACTGATTTATAAAGAGGGGATTTTCAACTTTGGAATTCTATGAGGTGCCCTGTGACATTAATTGAAAGACTTCAGAATTGTGAGGGAATCCTGTCACAGATAACAAGTTGAACTAACCATAAATACATTTTTTTTTTAGTTGAGGTTTTAATGGAAGCTTTGTTTTGATTGGTGTTGGTGTTGTGTACCATTGAGTCAGAACCGATCCATACCTGACTTTCTGGGATTTCAGAGTCAGTTAATTGCACTCGAGGAGATTGCCCATCCTTCTTCCTTGGAGCAGGTGGCATGGTGGATTTGAACCTCATGCTGTTGGGATTGCAGTGCAACTTCTTGCCACTAGGGTGCCAGTGAGTTGGATGATTATATCTTTAGCAAATTGGAACAATTGCTAAACTTGGAATTTCTTTCTTTTCTCTTTTCCCCCACCTATTTCTCCAGAATGGCTATACTCCTTTACATATTGCTGCCAAGAAGAATCAAATGCAGATAGCTTCAACACTCTTGAACTATGGAGCTGAGACTAACATTGTGACAAAACAAGGGGTCACTCCACTTCATCTGGCCTCCCAGGAGGGGCACACAGATATGGTCACCTTGCTTCTGGAAAAAGGAGCCAATATCCACATGTCAACCAAGGTACTTGTTTCAGTAAAGGATTTTATATGATTGTAAACAAACCAATCAATGATAACTTGGAACAAAAAGTGAGAATGTATTAAAAATGTGTAGTGATATTGTATAGAGCTCAAAGAAAGATCTAGAAAATCACAAGGAAGCAAGGGAGCTGCCCACAGCTTGTATTGTTACATTTCCCCACCCCCACCCCATTTTAGTTCCTCTCTGCTTATTTTCCATTCCATTTTCTTTGTACATTTTCATTTGGTTCTCTATACCTGTGGCAGAAAAAACAAAAAACAAAAATACCCCACAATCCTATTCTGTAATTTCCAAGAGCTAATATTTCTGTATTTCAAGCTGTCAGCTCAGATTTCACTAGAGAGCTCATCTTAATTCAAAAGAAATAGATACAGAGTCTATCATTGGATCCAATCTAAACTGATAGTCTCAGTCTACCCACCTGGTCATTCATTCTCTAATCTGGTGTGTTGTGTTGTTGTTGTTGTTGTTGTT